CATAATTATGTTTGCAAAATTCGTACAGAATAATCCACGAATTCCATTCCGAGTAAACTAAATAAAACATGTTTTTATTTTGACCACTGTTTATTTGTTTTCCTACGCTGCGAAAAAATAATAATTATCTATACTAACGAAAACTAAATTTACCCGAATGTTCACCTCGCACAAGTATTCACTATCGCAAAATAATTAGAACATCGAATTTGGAACACAACGTAAATTTTTATTACAGCTCACCATCTCCAAGGAACCCAATGTTGCTAGTCGAATTTAAAACATTAGCCAAACAACTCAAAACCAGTACATTTTTCCCAAATATCTAAACCAGTGACCATTGAATTTAAGCAACATTATTTTATGTACTTAATTATTACTCTACCAATCTTCGAAAGCAAATGTTCGGCAATATATACGGCTGATTTACAATAGACAATTTATATGGACGCTTATTTAAACAGCGATTTGTGAGTGTCCTACACGACGGCGCGTACATCACTTTAAGTGGCTGTTTATGTTAAGGATTATCCTGCAATTTATAGATATTAGCCTCGTGTTGCAACTGCTATTTGAAGCCGCATAAGAACGTTAATTGGTCCGAACACCACCTGTGTCCCTGTCCTATGCTGATGGTTCGTTGAATATATTGGCCCGTTTTATTAAAAGTCCGAAATCCGGGGCGGATTTGATGCTCTTTCATTAAATTCGCCATCTACGAGATACTGATAAAATTAGAGTAAAATAGAAAATAAAATCGGTGTAAAGTTGTATATTCTTGCAGATCATAATATTATAATAGTTCACAGAAAGATTAATCGCGGTTTATGGTTCAAAATTAAGAGACTCGCCATTTTAGTCACGTACAGAACGTAATGGTGCGAGTACTTAATAAACGAGTGAAAGTGGAAAACTTTGTCAACGCTAAATATAAATGGTATTGAAAAATTGGAAAAAACATTTTTAAATGCTTTAAAATGCAGACATAATAGTTATAGGCATTTTCTTACTTATAAGCAAAATTTGAAATTTTACAAAATCGATTCTCTATAAAACAGACAAAAATATTTTGATGTTTGCTGTGTCTATAAAATTCTAAATAATTTAATAGATTGCCCAATATCTATCAACTTAGTGCAATCACTTTTGTTCAACCAAAGGTTTCTACCAGCTGCTTTTCTAATTCTACATTTATCTATTAACTCCTATCACTTCTTGCTAAATATTCACAATGAAGTCACTAGACCCTTTTTGGTATATCATATAATAAAATTTATAAATATTTTGCTAATATGTATTAAGATATAGTTACTTGGTTTTTGAGTTTCTAAGGATTATTTTTGTTAATTTGTCCTATCCTTGAAAAGGGCGTATGGGACGCTTCACTTTACCACGTCAGTTTCGTCTCCCACGAATCCGAGCCACTTCGGACATTTCCGGGATTTTACCGCACGGGTTTGGGAGCAATCGGATGTTTTCGGAGATATTTCCCACGCTTCGAATTTGTCAATTCTGACAGTCATGTCAGTGAATGTATTCGTATTTTGCAAAAATGTACGCAAAAACTAACGGTTGTAGAAAAAGTGTAGTATGCAACACGTTCGGTAAACTTTGCCATTTACCGCACTTGTTGCATAATATACTATTATTTTTTCTACCATCAATAGAGCACATAAGCACTGAGTCACGTGTGGTGTAACAGTCAGAAACGATAAATGTCAAAATACCATGGCACCGAGAACCGTATAAAAAGTATTTTAACAGCCTTTGATGAAGCTGACGTCTTAAAGTGACACTTTACACAAGCCTGATTGGTACATAATTGGCTATTTTAGAGTAGGAAGTAGAAACATTAACTTCATTATTAACGAATTTAAAAAATATTACTTTTTCCACTTAAAAAAAATGCAAAATGAAAAATGAACTTAAAATTTGACCATTAGGAAAAACGTTGCCAAAAAATAATTTAATGGAACACCAACGCCTTAAACAGCAACAATGACATTTTTGTACTGAGAAGTTATCGAAATTATCAAAATCATCGGTTTAAGCTGTAAAATAAAGTAAGTAAAACGTTGCACATAATCGTTAACAGGGAATAACAAATGTAACAAAAGAAATATTATTCTAAAGCACATTTGTTGTAAATTAAATTATAATGAAACAAAATTTACTAGCTACTATACTAGCAAGTATATAGAAGTCATAAGATTCCACACAAGAATAACACACCTTAAAAAAACAATTTGGGTCTATATGCAACTTATGCTTCGCTGAAATAATTCGCAAAACAGAAATCAGCTCGGTACACTTATGGTACAATTCCCGTGAGAAAGAAAACACGGGTCAATATGGTCGCATCCATTTGGCCTGGAGGATTTTATAAACTCTCGTTTAAGTCGCATTTTTATGTGCGCCTTAGTTATAAGACAATGTATTTTTTTCAATATACAGAGTGTTTTAGAATTATTTGATCGAACGCGCACTTTCAACAGATCTCTAAAAACAAAATTTATTTGAACTTGACAAAAGTTTCGGTATTTTTTTTAAGATCTTGACGCCATAGCAGTAGTAGTTGCCAACATTGGCTAAAATCTGTTCATAGATATAAGAAAGAGACTAACTGATACGAATTAAGGAAAGACCCGGGCAAGCTGTAAGAATGAAATATGGCATTACAGGTCCGCACTTTGCTTAGAATTTAATTATTTGGGGTTTTGTTAGGAAATATAGTAAACAATATTTATTTATTTATGTATGTATTTATGTTTAAATCTAAAATAAAATTACAAATTATTTTTATTACCCACTTAAATTACTTAAAATTATTCACATAATATATCAGTATCACTATCGCTATCATCGTCTGTTCTAATTATTATTTGTTCTATATTATTTGCAATATAGATATACGATTGTTCTGCTTTTTCTATATGTTTAACAGAATTTGCCCAACTTTGTGGAGGGATGTTAAGAACTTCGGTTTCTATAAGTTTGAGTTAACACGGGGAAAAACATTGTTACGACGAATGGCAGACTTCAGTTGGTGCCAAACATAATAACTGACCTTTGTTGTTCTCTGTAAATCCTATTTTTTTCTAGATATTCCAGTCGCCATTTCCGAATTTTAAAATATTCCAATAAAACTTACCTTTTGTCAATTTTTTTAAATCTAAAACCCATGGGTTGAAAACTTCTATAAGGTAGTTTTTCCACATTTAACACCAGTTTCATCTTTTTCAAGCCTCCTAATTACGATATCTAATCTAGGCACGCTTTGTTTCTCATATAATTGGTAAATTTTACGCTGTATTATATCTTGATCAATTTCATCTACACTCGAGAAAATGTCAGCATCGCTTCTTTTTTTCCTCGCTGAAATGGGATTATTCACAATTTTCTATACAGGTCCATACATGTTGGAATTTTCGTCAATGTGGCCGTTTCTTCTAAAAGTTGCTTGCTTGCTGGCACCACGTTCAATGAGAGTAAAATAAACATTGTTTCTAACTTCCTTAGTCTCAATAGAATAGTGTCTTCTACATTTGGGCGGGAGCATCTCCTGAGATACACTAGACTCGCACATATTTTGCATAACTCTAATTATTACTAACAAACTTAAACTAAGTAGTATTCCAAACCAAAGAATATTAAACACAGGTAGGTATAAAATTATTTTCTATTACGGACCTCAATTTTACCTGAATTTAAATTCCGAAGCTTTAGGTAATAATCTTGTTGCATTGTATGTTAACAAAGCATACCAAATCATAAGTTCGACCATTTCTACATGCGATGAATTTACATTACAATCAATTTACCTAGAACCGATTGGTTATCGCAATGATATAAAAAGTAAAAAACTGAGAGGGGAAATGATTCCCTGCCCCAGCCGTAAGTCAAAAAAATTATACAAATATTGAAATTAAGATGTTATTTTAAAAATGCTTAGGCATTATATTGAACCGGTAGAAATAATAACCATTGTGTAATGTGCCTGCAAATCGATGTAGTCTAATCCATACAGAACGTATAATTAACTAATATATAGCTTTTGGAAAATTCTTAAAAGACGAATATAAATTTTTGGCTTGTTTTCTACTTAATAAATAAACTTAGCGGGCGTGCGTTTTTATGTAGGCAGCTTTAATGCGCTTCCATTAATTTATAATTTTGACAATAGGCTATGATGAAATTATATTAATAGGGAGTTTTATCAGAGTCTGTCTGTATTATGAAAATTTTTACTACCAAACGTGGTTCAAACGATTTAGTCTGCAAAATAAGAGCGAGGTAGAAAGTAAACATGCCAAGCAGGAATGAGTAGGTGCAGAATAAGACTGGAGAAAAGACACACAATAACCTGAACCTAAAGTCAATAGCGTGATACACCTTGCCATTGTGTTAAATTTTCCAGTCAGTCTGCAAACTAAAAGTTCTACTTCTTACATTACCTCGCTGGCTCTTGACATCTATCTATAAAGATATGACAAAACAGACCCGATTCTCAGTTTGACTATCAATTTTAAATTTGTGATTATTTCTTTGCGATTTCAAGAGATTTCTGCTACCAATTTTTGAATTATTTTGTTACTAATTTCTGTTGCCAATGCTTGAGTCCGCTCCTTGGCCATGATTAAAACTTTATTTTTTCCACACCATACTAGGCTATGTCCGTCAATTGTTTCTCATTTTTCGGTATTTTGAGATGTTGCCAACAGCAATTTAATGAAGAAATAAGTTATTTTATCCAAGTCTCAAAAATCAGTAGTGTAAAAAACAAAATAAACCAAGACATTAATTGAAATTACTGTTTAGTAGAAACACTTTAATAAAAAGCAATAAAAAATATTTTATTGAAAGGCAACCGGGATGCACAAGATGAAGTAACAAATTTTCACAAACGTAGTGTACCTACTGAAGCAAAGCAAGCTATGAAAATTTAAATCCTTATTTTATATACATACTGTATAACCTGTATTCACTGTAGCTGTCCTTACCTTTTGGAGCTTTCGTTCTAGGAGTTTCAACATATCCGTCCTTTTCCACTCCTTCTTCTTTTATAATTTTTTGTTCGATGCCCTGAAAGCAATATATTAATATAAGAGCAGGATGGTTAATAGTATAAGCAACAAATTTGATAAACAATTAATAAATGAATGACTGAAGAAATTTTTCATATGTTGCATATTAATGTTTTTTTGGCACTACAGCATGAATATTGTCGGGAACATTGCATTATATTTTCTTCAATGTTAGGATTATTTTATAAGCTGACATCAGCGCGGTTAGGCCGTGTAGTCAAGGAGATGAATGCGTCAAAAATAATAAATAAAGTGTTGTTATGCGAAAAGCGTCGTTTCATATCCATACATTTTTTCTGTACCGAGAATAACCATAACCGAATCGAAGTATATATACGTTAAACGGGTAGTTTATCGCGGGTATACGCAACAAATATATTAAATGAGTGACGTGCCAGTCAGAATTGACAAACATCGCTAATATCTACCGAAAGCATCCAATCGCTCCCAAACCCTTGACTAAAATACCCGAAATGTCCGAAGTGGCTCGCGAGTGTGGGTAACGATGCTAAAATCTTAAAATGAGACTTTCCGTACGCTTGATCTATCCATAGTAAAAACATAAACATCTTGAAAATTTAAAGATCTTGGTTCTGAATGTTCGGACATGGCTTCTTCTTCGATATTCTAAAATGAAGTATCTATTTTCAGTATCTATGGATATGCCCTTTTTCGACCTTAGGCTTCCATGATTGACACCTTGATCCATGGTATGATGGACTGAAGTACGTTTTTCATAAGGTATTTGCGAGACAAAGAAGGAATTAGTAACACATTTGATTGTTATAAAAGGTGGGATAACTTTAATAGGTATTTTGGTGTGGCTACATATTGTTTGTGCTTATACGAGTGCTTTCATTTTGGCGTACATCGCACCGAGTCTCTACACGGAAGCGTGAGAAAAGATCTCTAAATGGATTTGCTTACATGTTATAGATGTCGAGTACTTGATCAAATTTTCGCGTGGGACCACTCTTGTAAGGCTAATGCCTAATGCCTTCAGTACCGTAGTTAGATCTATACTGAAAGTAATTAAATTAAGAATATTCCGCAACCCAGTGCACAAATTGTAAAAATTGAACTTTTTTTTCTATGTATTAGTTGCCATTAGCCATGAGGTGTTGTTGCTGCATTTGAAAAGCGCTTTAGGGTTGATAAGAAAAAGTTTTTAATGACTTAAGAAAAAAATTATCATTAAGAGATCTGATATGATCTCATCGGAAATAATACTCAATTGTACTTCTCATTTTGTCCAGGAAACATCCGCTCTTCCAAAATCCACTGTTGATCAATTTATCCAAAAAGGCTCCAAAGACCATTGTTTGGATGTTCTCGAAGAAGAGGCTAAAACGCATTAATCTTAACAACCAATTCATGAGTATTCCTGTTCCTAGGAATCTGGGATTGATACTTGATTTTGATGCATTTGCCAATCTTAATACAATGCAATAAGTTTGATAAACGCCACTTTAGCCACAAGTTTCTTTTGGTGCCAGTGGAGCTTAATTAATTTAATAAACGCCGTGAACATATTTTCTGTCTACTCTGGATTATTACATAGGCACAAGCACCAAAACTCATTTTGTTAAGTTCAATTCAAAAAAACCTTGGTTAACTGGACGTGTGTTCGAACACATAAAACATAAGAGAGCTCTGTGGCATAGATTTAAGGCCTCTGGCTCTGCTTCCGATTATGCTTTGCGCAGAAGAGTTTCTAATAGTTTATCCTTGGAGATTAGAGAGGCAAAGAAGTTTTATTCCTATGTCAGACAACAAGTATCGTCTAAGGTATCCCTTCCTGTCCTTAGAGATACCTCGGAAGAGGTCTCCTATAACCAGAACTTTACTTCAAATGAATTTGCTTCATATTTTGATAGTGTCTTTGCTGATGAACCAGCTAACCTACACTACCTAACACTATCAGAGTCCTATAAATCTAGAGTTATTAAAAGACCAAGAAGACGTGAAAAAAACTCTTTCTGAATTAAAACAATATTCTGCTCCCGAACCTGATGGACTTTCCTAGTGCCTAGTGTGTATTATGTATAAAGTCCTTGAACGCCTAGTAAATCAGCTGTTGCCGTTTTTGATTGACTGCCATATTATACCCACATCGCAGTATGGCTTTGTTCCCGGCAGATCAGTCATATCAAATACATTGACATGCTTGAATCACTGGACATTATCTCTTGACTCAGGTGATCCGGTGGGTATTATTTACCTCGACTTCAGCAAAACTTTCGACAAAGTGCCACATCGACGCTTGTTATTCAAACTTGAAAATATCGGAGTGGGGGATAAATTGCTAGAGTGGATAGCGGCGTTTTTAAGCCATCGGTCGTTCAGAGTTCGAATTGGTAATGCTTTTTCACTGCCACAAAACGTGCCTAGTGGTGTTCCCCAGGGATCGGTGCTGGGACCAGTGCTATTCTTAGTGTATACCGTGGATACACTAAGTTATTTGAAAATCCTTCAACACATGCGGACGCATTGCAGAGAGACTCGAATACTATTTCCAACTGGTGTTCAACTTGGCTATTGCTGCTGAATGCTCAAAAGTGCTCTGTGCTGCATGTTGGTAAGAACAATCCCGGTTTGAACTATTATATCAATGGAAATTTTGAGTCAAGTGTCAATTCTCAGATGGACCTAGGTGTGACAGTAACTAATGATCTTGCGTGGTCTGTACATGTATCAAATATTTCAAAGAAAGCAAACTGCGCGTTATTTTTGTTAAAAAAGACTTAAAAATCCTAGTCTTCGCATCGCTTGCAGACTTTTTACCACTTACATTCGTCTCATCCTGGAATTTGCTTCCTTAGTCTGGAACCCATGGCTATTGCGTGACTGTGATGTTCAACTTAGACATACACATTAAGATGACCGTCTCAAAATACTTAGTCTGCCAACATTAACTCAGCGTCGGCTGCGAGGAGATCTCATTGAAATGTATAGGTTTGCGCATGACCAATTTCCATCTTGTGGTCTTAAGCAATGATGAACGCCTACGTGGTCGTCCATTTAAAATAACAAAGGAAAAATTCAGGACTTCATATCGCCTACATTTTATAAGTAACAGGACTTTCGATTATTGGAACAGTTTACCCCCAGATGTTGTGTGTGCGCCGAACTTGTCGGTATTTAAACGTCGCTTGGACAGTGTATTGTTTCACAGCAATAACTAAATATTTATTATATGCATAACATTTTCATGCTGCTAACTATCAACGTGCATAATAGGTTCTCCTGTGCACTTTATTCTTTGTAGTAATAATAATAATAATAATTATAATAATAATATGATGCATGCATGATGTTGAACAGATCCGATAGCTCCCAAACCCGTGACTAAAGCATCAGAAACTCCCGAAGTAACTCGTGGCAGCTGTTACGGAAGCTGAAGTCTTATTAAAGTGTGCATTCGCGCCTAATCAATGCATAATTGAATATTTTAGAATAAGGAGTAGAAGAAAATAATTATGCGATTGTTTGTTATATACTTTTTATTATAATTAAATTGACATAAAAATAGTAAGTACATTCTTCAGCATGTTTTTTTGTATTTTATTTATATGTATATCCTATTGTCCTGCCGTAATCATTATGTGTGCTGAATAAATTCTTCTTTTTATATGAATAATTAGTATACATTAATTGTAGGTGGAGTGATAAAGTAGAGCTTCAGCTTCATCTTTTCGAATATGTTCTTATAATATATTTTCAATAAAGCCATATAAATTATAAGAGTTGACGACACTTTTTGTATTTATTTTTTTATATAGATTTTTGCGAAAGAGAATGGATTAACGTTATTTTGTTCTAGTCATTAGAAGCAGATCCCAAATTTATAGAATCTACATTTTCATTCCAAATTACCGCGAACTAAGTAAAACAGGTGCGTCCAAGGCTCAGGTCCCGACCCCAATAAATTTTCTCAGCGCGGTTGCATTCAAGGCCGCATGACGTCCACACCTGCGTTCGTAGGGGTTGTAACCCTCTTATGTTTCGGTTACAACGTTTGATTACATTAGAAATTCGATTCCGAAACAATGACTACAAAGTGGAAAATAAAACCTTGTGCGCGGCTCCCGATAAAAAAATATATTTCGTGTTATTTATGTGAATTATATTTATATTGGAAGATAGAGAATATATTTAATTTAGTTACCTAAAAATTCCTGTCTAAAGCAACGGAAGAGTTTTCAAATGTGGTTAAAATATAACGTCTGGATTCAGATTTTCCCCCGAAGAGCCCTTATTAATGAACCAGATCACATGCCACTTATGATGACGCTATCTTCGTTCGACAGAGCCACCTGCGATGTGTCGGCAGTCGGCCGAAGCGGTTGTTTTTCCAAGCCGCCTGCTGCTTGTTTGGTTCGGACGAGTGTTTACTTTATTAGAATGGGACGCCATCTGTGCTTTCTGTTGCTGTCACGCTGTATAAAAGAGAGCAAATTTCTTGGAATTGGCATAATCCGGATGCTAATTTCGACAATAGAACACTTAGACGAATTTCGTTGAATCTAGTCTACACTAAGAAAACATAATATTGATTTCGATTAAATTTAAAACTGTGCTAGAAAATACAAACCTCTACGCTCCCTCCCCATCTTAAGTTATCAAAAAATATGTTAGCACAGTACATATTTTATGGTAATATAGCATCACGTTTACATAATTAAGTATGTTGGATGTAATAAAATATAAATATATAAAATATATAAAATATATGTAATTTATGTATATATATTTGCATCTGGGTTTCAGTAACTCGTTTTTCGTATTTTTCAGTTTTATGAATTTTTATGAAAGATAAGTATATGAAAATTTATGAAAGATAAGTATACGTTATGATAAGACACAGCGTATCTCATTCAACCAAAAGGAATATTCCAACAAAATTTTGATTGCCTTGATGCACAAAAACATATGTTTCTGAATTCTGTTTCGGCCAAAAATGAAAAAATTAAGTAAATTTCAAAGTAAGACTTGCGA